CGTGGCACCTCGGCTGACACGTCGGCGTCACCTTGCCACGTGTTGGTACTCAGAAAATATATCCCCACAACTACCCCCTAGGTTCTATTACCTCGTCATTCTGAGGTGATGGAACCTACACTGTTCGTTCATCTGTGCCCCTCTATCCGAGATCAAACTCGCCGACCTCAAAGTTCCCTGGACTTTACTGTCCACTAGTGTCAAGAATCAAGTTTCATGCTTTCTAGGCTACTTGAGATCGCATCTCCTAGCCGAGGTTCTGGTTCCATTAATTCGTAAACTCCAAGAGCTTTGCAACTGCTCCACTCACACTCTCTGGTGAGTTTCTTGATTTCCAGTCACCTATTTGACTCTAGCGATCTTTGTATCAGCGTTTATTTCACTTGGTGGGTTCATAAACTCTTTACTTGCTATTAAGCTCAATCTTTCATAACTCTTCTGAATCTGTTTACTTGCCATCTGTGGCCTTCTGTTCTCGTCTGTCTTCAAGTTTTTGATTTCTTATTGCTAAAATGCCTGGAACTGTTCTTTGTCATATCCACTTTCTGTTGCTAGCATCATGTCTGGTTCATTACTTTCTTGTTCTTCACATACTTACTTAGTGCCTGTGTACTTGGCTTTATTCTTTTAACTTTGTCATCTTCTTGACTTCTGTTTTTTCTCTTCTTGTTTTTCTTGTTGTATTTCCAGATTCTTGCCTTTGTTTCTATTTTCCGCATAGTCTTAGAACCACGTTTCTTCTTGAAATTGTTGCGGAGATAGTGGTGGAGAAGCTCTTCCAGCTGATTGCCAATGCTGAACCACCGTCAACCGTTTGAAGTAGATTAGTCCGACGTTCTTGCCTTAGTCCCTAGTTCTTAGGGTCTTCATCTTTGTACTTTTGTTTTCTTTGCATATGTCACCTTTTTTGCTTCTGAAAAATGTCTGTTGTTGGCCGATGTTAACATCCCTTGCTCCTTGATTATCATTCCTTTTTCCACTGTATTTGATAGCCATGTCGGGTAATTGACTCCTCGGATTTCCCTGAGCTCCAGAAGTCTGTTTACTTCTTCCTCTACTGCTTCGGAGTGCATCAACGTTGGCCCTCTTGCTCGTTGGATTACAGATTTGGCCGACCTTAATGTTTGCTCTCAAACAAGCTTCAAATTCTCTTTCTTCTTCTTCGGCTAAGCTTGAGAAGAAAGAAGAGTTCTTCATTCCCTTCCTGGACGAGAATTTTATTCAGTGCCTCTTCACTCTTCTCGGCTGGCTCCTTGCCGACATCATCTAGGACCTCTATGTCCTCGTTTTCAATCTCTGCCTTCTCTAGTTCTCGAATGCTGCAGGTGGATTTCATTGCTGCCATGGAGCAATTCTCCGCCTGCAGTTGATCCCCTCTGACTTCTTCAATCCCATGTTCTGTTGGGAACCGCAGTAATTAATGCAATGTTGAGGGAACTGCCCCCATTGTATGCAACCATGGCCTTCCCAAGATGATGTTGCAAGGTGAAGGCGTGTCAATCACGACGAATTCTGTTTTGATCCTCTTCTAACTGCTTTTGCATGATTCTATACTTAGAATATTTTGTATGCCTTTCATACTTTGCCTCCTTTATGCAATCTTCTCGGGGTTACATACCTCGGGTATAATAGCTACAAAACTTTTACTTCGGCAAGATACTGACCTGCAAACTTTTCATAAATTCTAACAAGTGTGAAACATATACTACTCAATGTTAACTTTGCAAACTTTTTCTCAAGGTTCAACAAGTGTTTAAACGGTGATCTTGGTCTAGCCTACTTGTAAATTGCTACAAATTTCAACAAGGATTAACATATACTGTAACAGGGATCAACAAGGATTAACATAACGAGTGTTAAACAATAAGCTATTTGTAAATTGCTATGAATTTCAACAAGTGTTTAAACAATATACTTAGCTTTTACCTCAACCTGTAAATTGCTGTAAATTTCAACAGATGATCACATGTCGGCTTAACATTATCTTGTAAATTGCTACAAATTTCAACAAGTGTTAAACATCTTCTTTGGTTGGATCAACTTGTAGATTGCTATAAGTGTGCAAACTATAACCTCGGCTTCACTTCGACTTGTAAATTGCTACAAATTTCAACAAGTGAAGATAAGGAATCAGCTTAACTCCAACTTGTAAATTGCTACAAATTTCAACAAGTGAAGATAAGGAATCAACTTAACTCCAACTTGTAAATTGCTACAAATTTCAACAAGTGAAGATAAGGAATCAGCTTAATTTCAACTTGTAAATTGCTAATTTCAACAAGTGAATTAAGGAATCAGCTTAATTTCAACTAAGCATCATCTCGGCTTAACTTCGGTTAAGCATCGTCTCGGTTTCACTTCGGTTAAACATCATCTGGGCTTAACTTTGGTTAAGCATCATCTCGGCTTAACTTTGGTTAAGCATCGTCTCGGTTTAACTTCGGTTAAACATCATCTCGGCTTAACTTCGGTTAAGCATCATCTCGGCTTAACTTCGGTTTAAGCATCGTCTCGGTTTAACTTCGGTTAAACATTATTTCGGCTTAACTTCGGTTAAGTATCATCTCGGCTTAACTTCGGTTAAGCATCATATTGGTTTAACCAACTTGTAAATTGCTACAAATTTTAACAAGTGATAAACGCATTCTTCTTCTCTCTGCCCCCCAGTGTGAACTTAAAATCCACTTGGGTTCTCATCATACATGTAGCTTCGACCTTGTCCCCGAGGTTTAATTTAAGCCGAGGTTGTCGGTCTTGGTTTCTCTATTGATCTTACTTGGCTCCAACCTGAGTTTGATTTTTGACCTCGCATCGACGAGCCGTTTCTCTTTTCTTGTTCCGACGCCTTTGTTCCCGGCATGTCCTCCTTGGCCCTAGTATACTTCTCAATTCTCGCCAACTTTAGTCTGATCTTGTGTGTTTCCTTTTTATCTTCTGGGATCTGAGATCTGCTCATTATGCTCTTCTCTTTTCGGACTCAGGTGCCGAGATCCTATCTTCTGGAATCTTGGATCTGCTAATCAGGTTGAGCTCTTCTTTTCTCGGACCTACTCATCTAGGCCGAGATCATGTCTTCTGGGATCTGGGATTCGGGATTTGCTCACTCAGGTTGAGCTCTTCTATACTTGAATGTTATCTCTTTGGGAGCGCTCATGCCCCATGTCTTTGCATCCCTTCCGGAAGGGTCTTCGTTCCTCCGCAGGTATCTATCCTTCCATACCTGGAGGTCATCTTCGTTGTAGTATCCGCTTCGATCTGTTGTCTTTGGTGCTTCACCTTCCTAGCCGGCGTCTTTCACTCTGTGACTCTGGTCACGAGTTTCTGTGTTGCGGTCGTCCCCTTCAACGTCGAGATCGATGGGTCTCCCACTTCCAGCAGGAGCGTTGTCTCTAATCTGATCATTTTGTCCGTCATTGGCCATCTATTCTTCTTTCTTTCCTACAGACGGCGCCAAATTGTGTGGGTGATTTTCTGACCACACTGCCTGTTTAGTATCCCGCTGGAGAGCACCGGCAGAATAGATGACACCTGGTTAACCTGCAACAGAAATATAAGAATCCCGCGGTGGTTTCGACCACCCGGGGGCACTCCGACGATCAAGTCAGTATATCTCTCAAAGATAAATCAAGTACTAAACTCACAAGCTTGAGTATCAAAAGCATACCTTAGACACATGGGGGTGCCTCTCTTTTATAGCCAATACAATCCTAGTCCCAAAAGGAGCCTGACCCTAATGGACTTAGGATTACTACTAATCTGGGACTCCCAGTGGGATTAGGATAAACTCTTTAAGAGTCTTATCTTTACCCAAACTGAAGTCTTCTCCCAATCTAGGACTCTTGTCCATATCCAAGTTGAGTTCCCTCTTCATTCTAGGACTCTTGTCCCTTATCCGCTTATCTCGGATTTCGATATCTTCGGAGGCAACCTCGGCCTAGCCAAGATGACCTCGGCACAACGACCAAGACACGTGGCACCTCGGCTGACACGTCGGCGTCACCTTGCCACGTGTTGGTACTCAAAAAATATATCTCCACACTACTCAATGCGCTTGTTTAGGAAGGAGATTTGGGTTAAAATAGTTATATAAAATAGAATAGATTATTTTAATTAAATAAAATAAAATATTACATCAAATTCATAATCATTTTATTTTTTTTTTCACAAAATAAAAAAAGTAAAAAAGTTCATCCCAAACAAAAATTTTTAACCCCAAAATAAAATAGTTAAAAAGTTAAAAAACCAACATACATCTCAAACGAGCTCAAAATATATGAGTGTAAAATTCACACTAATATAATAGGTCTTTTGGGAACAATGATAAGAAGCCAGTTTTTTGGCTTTTTAACCTTTTTAGCCAAAAAAATTCAACTTTTTTTTTTATCCAAAACTACCCAACTTTTTACCAAAAAAGCCACAAAAAAAGTCAAAAAAATCAATTTTTTTTATCAACTTTCCAAAACACTACTAAATGAGACTCACATAAATTTCATAATCATGTGAGTATTATATATAATATTTAGTAATTCATTTGGAATTTCTAACATTAGCTCAATTGATTTTTCGATCAATTTTTTTTATTAATTATCACTTAATAAATGATTTTTTGGGGTACATCAGAATTACTTAATAAATGATTTTTAATCCTAATATATCTATACTATTATGGGTTGGACTTTTCGTGAATTTACATATGAATTTAAGAGGACTTGAACCATTTATTATGTAAAATCCTTAATATATATAATTCATTAAAACAAATTAGCTCAATCAAATAATCACAATTTTTTATTTTATTTTATCACATTTATCTCTAAAAATAAATAATAATTTATAATTTTCAATACAACTAAAAATATTATTTTTAAATACATTAATTTTGTTCAAAAAAACAGTAAAAAGTCAAAATATTTAGCATGAGGCCTTTATGGTAATTTCAAGCAGCTCCTTATACTTTGACCATGGTTAGTTTTTCTCACTCTTCATGTGATCCGAGAGAGTCATTTGACGAAGTAAAATAATAAAAATAATTTTAACTTTAGTGAGAGAAAAATAAAAGGTAGAGAGGGAGAGAGAGAGAGAAGGTTCTGGCTATGGAGAAAAAGGAGTTTCCAGTGGATACTTCGATCAATCACCAGCCGTTGAATCTTCCGCATCTCTGATCTTAGCCGTTCATCAGGTTGACTATTCTATCTTTCTTTTTTTTCTCTCTCTTCTCCGAGCAACACAACGGCCGTGAACTTTCCTCTGCGATTCGTCAATTTTTTTTGTGAGTTCTTCATGCGATTCGTCATTTTCTCAGAAATTCGACTTCATACTGTGATGATGTTGTGATTTAATTATTTCAATTTCTTTTGCATGCAATGTGAATATTGATCTCTGGATATAGTTTTACTATCTTGAAGTACTTCTTTCATGTTTTTTTGGCTTCTTGTGGCTGCGTTTGGTTTCTGCGAAAATGTAGGAAAGGAAAAGAAGGTAAAACAGTTGAATCTTGAATTTCTTTAGGTTATAAGGTAGATAATCGGGAAATTCGACTGAATCAAGACTAGTTTTGTGTTGATGGGGTTGAGCTTTCAGTCGGAAGTGAAATTAACGAAAAAACTGAGGAATCAATCAGATATGTGTTTTCGTATCAGGAATCAACCTAGTTCTTGTTGAAAATACGACAAACGAGACGTTTGCTTTTGATAGGTATATAGATGTATTGGCGTATATATGTTGCACACAGTGACTTTCTTGATAAAAATATTTTCCTAAAATTTTCACAAGAACTGGTAGATAGATATACCTAATTTTTAAAATTTAGCCTTCTTTGGTTACTTTTTCCTTGGATTATTTATGTTGTCAATTTTTTTGAATTGGTTGATTTCGTTATTTCATTTGCATTGAATCTTGAATACATGACAATGGCATTAGTCCCACTTGTTTAGGCTGAAAACATTTTCTACGGAAAACATTTTTCTATGTTTGGTGGAGGTGGTGGTGTGATCGTAGGGTGGCGGTGGTGGGGGTGATAGTGGTGGAGGTGGTAGTGTGATGACATCAGTAAGACTTTAGTTTGGAAAACGTTTTTTGTCTTTTAAAAGTAAAAAATATTTTCTGCCCAATTGGACTTACTTTCCGTTACTATGAAAAATGTTTACCATTGATCTTCGTTTTCTATTATACTAAACGCTAGAAACAAAAAATATTTTCTACTTAAACAAACAGAGCGTTCATGTCCCTGTGATTTTAAATTTTCGACTGCCAAACTTCAATGCAAAACATCATTTACTCTCTTGATTACTTGAAATTGCACCTTATGGTTGTAGGTTCTTTAAATGTAAATGCATATCACAATACCTTTGTTGTTGTTTTTTTTTTTTTTTCCCGCACAGGTTGTGTTTCTTCTGAATCACGGGCCACTATCAGATAACTTTCCTGATTTAGTAACCTCGCTACATTCACCTATGTGTGGAAAACAAGTTTTGTTGTTTGTATCACACGAACTGAGACGAACAATGCATGTAAAATAGGTGATCAATGATTGTTTGGTGGAAACTTACTCACTCATTCAATTGGCGTTGGGATTTGAACCTGCTTGAGAGAAAAGGTGAAGCTCTACTGCTGTCACCGCTGATTCTGAATATGATGACTGGTAAGTTGGACAGTCCTGTTCAGACCCAGATGGCGGTAGCAGTTTTGAACAGCCCGTGCAACAGTGGTTGCCACATCGACAATGGACCGGAGAGAAAGCTTTCTGGGAGTAGGCGTCTTTTTGTTCAAACTGAAAGTGGTTGTGTTTTGGATATGGAATCAGATCGGAGAGACAATGCCCAGACAGTGAAAAGGAGATTGCAGCTTGTGCTCAATGTCCCCACAGATGAAACTTTGACATTTGGGGATGAGATACTGAACAATGATCTTAGCGCTGTTCGAAATGATTCCCCTTTTCTTCTCACGAGGAACCTCATGCACAGAAGCTCATCAACTCCGTCTCCCTCACCTACTGGAAAATCTCTCCAACAAAGAGATTATGGTGGTATTATCGAGATTCTTGGTTGCTTGAATCACTTTGCTAGAACAAATGAACTGGTTAAAGAGATCATGAAGGCAATTAAGAACGGTGTTGATCCAATCCCAATAAGTAGTGGGCTTGGAGGTTCTTACTATTTTACAAACATCAAAGGTGAAAGTGTCGCGATTGTGAAACCAACAGATGAGGAGCCACTTGCACCAAACAACCCAAAAGGTTTTCTAGGAAAAGCTCTTGGGCAGCCTGGTCTGAAGCGTTCAGTTAGGGTTGGGGAAACAGGGTTCCGCGAAGTAGCGGCCTACCTTTTGGACTACGATCACTTTGCCAATGTGCCCCCTACTGCTCTTGTGAAGATTACACACTCAATCTTCAATATCAACGATGGTGTGAATGGCAAGAAGTCCCAGAAGAAGAAAATGGTTAGTAAGATTGCATCTCTCCAACACTACATACGCCATGATTTTGATGCTGGTGACTATGGAACCTCAAGCTTTCCAGTTGCTGCTGTACATAGAATAGGGATATTAGATGTTAGGATCTTTAACACTGACAGGCATGCAGGAAATATTTTGGTGAGGAAGCTTGATGGGATTGGAAGGTTTGGACAGGTTGACCTCATTCCGATTGATCATGGCCTTTGCCTACCTGAGGCCCTGGAAGATCCATATTTTGAGTGGATCCATTGGCCTCAGGCATCAATTCCTTTCTCAGAGGATGAACTCGAGTATATAAGAAATCTAGATCCTGTTTCTGATTCCGAGATGCTTCGGACAGAGCTGCCTATGATCCGGGAGGCATGCCTACGCGTTTTGACACTCAGTACAATTTTCCTCAAGGAAGCAACTGATTTTGGACTCTGCCTCGCTGAGATTGGCGAGATGATGAGCAGGGAGTTTCGCGGCCACGTGGAGGAACCTAGTGAGCTCGAGATCGTGTGCTTGGAGGCAAGGAGGGTCGTAGCAGAGAAGAAAATGCTATTTTTGGAGACCGAATTAATGGATAGAGAGATCCAGTTTGATTTGGATTTGGACGATGCAGAGACGGGCTTGACCCCACAGATGTCACGGGAGTCCTTGAACAAAGCTTCATTTTCTTTCGAGCGCATTGAAGAGGAAGAGATTGATGCCAAAGAAGTGTCATCTCACAATCAATTTCAGACTGTTTCAGAGCTGTCCACGTCTCTTAAAAATTTTGGGTTGGGTGAAAAGAGCAAGCGACAAGAACGCTCTCCTCTTGTGGGTACTTCAGACAGTATCAGAAGAAGCGCAAAAGAGCTGTTACCTTCGTCAACCACCTTTGTGAAGTTGGCGGACATGAGCAAGGAGGAATGGTTTATGTTCCTGGACAAGTTTCAGGAGCTTCTTTACCCTGCATTTGCTAATCGAAAATCATCAAGCATTGGTCAGAGACAGAGGCTTAGGCTCGGGACCTCATGCCAGTTTTGAGATAGTTAACTAACTATTCGCTGATCAAACAGAGACTCTGAGATTTGTTTTAGGTTTGCTGGTCGGATTGTCTTCACTCGGGATGTATTTTAGTCAGTGACTGTAGCAAGAAGTGTATATAAAGTTCGTCAGCGAGGTAAATGAAGTGAAATGATCGCTCCTCTATTGTTTGTTTTTACTCTTTTTAAAAAATGTTTGTAGAAAAGACAAAGAGAAAATTACATGCATATATATAGTTTCAGATGCATGAAGTATGTAACCTAATGCAAGGTTTGTATTAAAAAAAAATAAAAAATTTGTCAGTTTTATTATGTGACTAATCAATTGTTAATGCATGGTGTTTTGATTAGTTTTTCTTCATTATGTTCAATTTTGTGTGCTGTGTACTACGGGGGTTGTAATGTCAACCCTAGACAGTTAAGTTTCCTCCGAGTCCAAAAGGAAAAGTAGGCAGAGCTCGGTATGACATTTTCATACATGGAGATGGAGATGGAGATGCTATAGTATATTTCCGGGAAATTTTCCCAGGCGTATGCCAGGTAACTTTGGTGGTTGTTAGGAAATTAGGTTGCTTCATCGTTTATAGTTCGTATGAAAGGTCTACTTTGGTAGTTGTTAGGAAATTAGGTTACTTCATCGTTCATAGTTCGTATGAAAGGTTTGTAGAGAGTCGCATACCCATTCTTGAGGGAAAATGCTGAGTTACCAGAATTTTTGTACAAAATGTAGGAAAAGGTTGCTTCATTGTTTCTTAATCTAGAATGCTTTCGTGTTAGAACATACCTATATGCCTTGTTTTGACCACTTGTAACGACGTCCTCATCAATCTAGGATGTTCACAAATGTTGTCAATTTTTTTTTGTTTTATTCTTTTTACATGAAATACTAAATATTTTTTTTGGTAAAATCACAAAAATAAAAATTTGAGAGGGGTTGGTCGGAGTGTTGTTAGAAGTGACGGGAGGGTGGTGATAGCTAGCAGTGGGGGTGGTTAGGACTTAAGAAGTAATGGTGTTTGGTAATCTGAGATGAGTGAGAGAATGTTTTAAAATTTTTGAAATTAATTCCACTTCTATGAAAACAAAAATAATATACCAAATAAGTTTTTATTACTAATTTTCTATAAAAAAAAATATTAAAAAAATAAAAAGTAAAAAAAGAATGCTAGATGGCCCTTTGATTTAGCTCTTCTCTAAACTTTTATTAAAAATGGAAAATTGAACAGACAGTTGCATTGTTTGTGAAAAGTAATTTTTTTTTTTTTCCCCCGTAAAATAACACCCACCATTGCAAATAAACCGAAGTTCACAGAAATGACGGTAAATGTTGAGATTGCACCACTACTCATATTTAAACCACAAATTGCTTGAATTTATAAATTACACGGTACAGGTTTACAAAACAGGCACTACCACTTATAACTCTTCTAAACTATACTTAAAATTAAAAAAAATAAAAATTCTAGATAAATAAGCTGAAAGGAAATAACAGGAAGAACATTACCTAAGCAGCAAAAAACAATTTCAATTCCTTCCGGTGAAGGTATAGGAAGGCTGGAATGACATTAGCCAAAAAGCGTCCACTTGGACATCTCTGCAGCCCCAAAAAAGGCACATTTAGGCACAACCTATCTTTTCAACCATGATGGCGTTGACAACATCCTTCACAAAGACATAAAAGCATTCTCTGCAAGTACTAGGCATCAGAGTGGACATTCGGGGTTGTTGAGCTTGATTGGTATGGCAGCATGCAGAGCTTGGAAAGGAATGAACACCGGGTTTTGGGTGCTCTAAGCCACATGCAGCCAAGATGGAATGAGTCGCATGCCTTGCAATTTCCTTAAATGCATCAACTCCTGCAATAACGACAATGAATTGGTTTTATTCAAACTAAATTTTTTAAATCAAAACTGGTACGACCCCATCATAATTATGGAAATTGCACCTCAAAAGAGGCGACGCTATAAACTGAATTGAATCCATAAAATGATTAAACAATTTCTTTGTTTAATCATTTTAGTTATCCCCTAGATTGACATGCTACAGCATCTGATGTTTACCCGCCAAGTGCCAGCTGGGAGGTGCTGTTGGTTCTGACCAATGTATGCAGATTCATTGGGTCATGAAACAAGCATCTTTAATGCCCTGTTTGGCAATCTCTAAATAGGAAGATTTTTGCCTAAAAAAGTCGAGAAGTATAAAGACCTCAAGAGAGTCTTGATAGTGAGGCTACAACAGCTTGCTAGCATTTCATCCCCAAATCTAAGAACCACGAGGTAATTAAAAGATGCATACATGCATGCACACACAAATATGGAAGACCTAAAGCTCAAATAAAATAGCCATACCTAACTTTCTATCTCTGGTTAGAAGCTTTAAATTGAGCTTGACAAGTGATTGAATCTCACTCTTGGCATCATCATCTCTTCTAGACTTGCTTCCAGCACAACTTTTGTCCACTGTGGCTTTTTCATTGGGAAGTCTCATCTTGGAGGAAGAGACAATGTCTGGTTTAGCACAAGATGCTTTTGAAGCTACAGTAACTGGCCCAGCTGGAGTAGTAATCAAGCAAGCAGACCTGTCACGTTCATTAAAAACATTGGATGACACTGCTGGTAAATTTTCTTGTGGTAGCTTCCCACCATTGCGATAACAAACATCAACTTGAACTGAAGTCTGAGCCTTCCTAGAAGATGGCAACTCATGATCTCTGGATGATTGAGCACTCAGCGAAGTCTCTCCAAATTTTAAAATCCTCTTTGTAGTAACAATACTCTGCTCTTGTTTAACACCTATCTGTGGTCTATCATTTCCTTGCTTTTGTAATACAGTGTTTGAAAGATCTTTAGTTCCAATTGGTTTTCTACATGATGGCAGGAGGCTAGAACTCGCTTTAGCCTTTTCTATTGGGGTATTTACTTTGCTTAAAGTATGTTTTGAGGCCTGATTAACGACGCTGGCTCTTTCATGAGCCCGTTTTGCCACATCCATCATTTTCCACGCTTTTTCTACATTATAGGAGCTTCTATTAGGTATTGTATCACTGGAAGAACCCTTCTGAGCAGCCAAGTGCTGACTTGAGCAAGGTGTAGAATGTGTTTGACCTGATCTATCAGAAAGAATGGCACCACCGCTATGTCTCTGATTTGTATTGCCACTAGAATCAACTGAACTGGAAGTAAAACTCAAAGACCCACTTCGGAATGCATTCCAATTTTCACGTAATGTTTGTATATGACCCTGTACATTGCGACAACGCCGTAATGTTCTTGCACCCGAATCAGTTGCAGTTGGTGCAATGCTTGGCTGTGTTCTCGAACCCTTGTCAGTTGTGCTATCTGCAAGACCTGTTGGACTTGGCAACGCTGCTGTAGGAGGTCTCTCAAGCTCTCTAAAGCTGGATTCTCGTACAATATCTCGTATAGAAACATGTGATTCAGCCAGTGGAGCTTTTTGAAAGTTTATAGAACTCATTTGACTGTCACAATCCTTATCTGTTTCACTCTTCTTGTGTTCAGCTTTAGAAACAGTACAGTCCTGGCAAAACCAATCACCCTCAGGGACAGTGGCACCAAGACCAACACAGTAAGTATGAACTGCAGAGTCACAAAGATCACATAGTAGTAGAAGACTTTCATCTCTCGCACTGTCACATACAGTACACTGAACTTCTGAATATGGATCCGAAGGTCCTACTGTCGCGTTTCCAAAATAATGATAAATCTGCAAGGCAAAAATATGTCAAAATTTCAGTGACCTTTCATGAACTAGAGATCCGGTTTCAGCTCAAATATAGCAACAAGGATGTAGTGCCAGGGTCATGCATAAGCAAGGTGCCAAAGATGGCACAGCAACTCTCCATAATCTAGACAAAGGATCATGTCAGTTTGCACCTGCACTCATTAATCAGTCTCCGTGTTTTGTTTGATTTTGAATATCTTAAACGAGAGTAAATAATGCATAAAATATTAAACATAAAAATTCCACAATAACGAAGCATAATACACATATTCTAACATACAATCTTTAAGAAACTAAAAGAATAAGAAAAATAATGCGTAGGTGGCCAAACAAGTCTCTTAAATGGATAGACAAGAGCTCTCTCAACACATCACAGGTGAGAAAGAGTCCCACTTATCATAAATTTACACAGCAGGTCAACTCCACAAGTATTTGATGCCAGATGCATGGATCTTTTTTTTTTTTTTTTTACCAGTAGTACAAAGTCATATCCTCCAGATAAATTTACAGTAATCATTTCATTTCTTATCACCCCAACCCATGTTCTCATTGGTCTTCCTCAACTTCTTTTACCACCCTCAATGTCAATCAAATCATTGTTTAAAATTTTTTTATGCAAAAATAAGATAGGGCAACAAGCTTGGATGACCAGGTGTATTAGGAAAGAACCTAATAGGCTTTGACTTGAATAAGTCATGCCAATGCAATAGTTGAATGCCTTTAGAGGCTTCAAACAAGCTTAAATGATCTGGTGTCAACACCCTCTATTGATGAACAACCTTACAAGAACTGCACCTAGGACTAGGACCCAAAATTGGACAAATAGTAGTTGAACCAAGCTTAATCACATAACCTACAAGAAGGGTTGGCAACAACAAACCTTAAGAGCCAAATGGAATTTAAGTGGCCCCATCTAAAGGTCCCATAAAAATAGATCAAGTTTTTAATTTTTTAACGAGAAGGAAGCAACTATACAAGGCACCCCACTAAAAGAAACAGAATGCTTTTCCTACAAAGGGGAACAAACACAACATCAAAGATAAGGAGAGTACTCTCAAGAGAGATGAGAAGTTGCAGCATAAAACAGAAGAATGTACATGGGAAAGAATCCTCAAGCACCCAATCAAGGGTTAGAATTAAACCATATAGGGTATGTTTGATTACAAGGATTATAGTATAGGATTGAGATTGTTAGTCCATGGGCTCACAATCTCATGTTTGATTGCAAATTTTATTAATCGGATTACATGTATGGCGGATATTCAATCCGATGAAATTTACGAATTTTTAATATTAAGAGAGGTTGTGGATCATAATTTCAAGTATGAAAAAAAAAAAAAATACAAAATAAATGGTTATCTCACTAATTTAATTGGATAACTAATCCTATACTAATTCATGGGGTTATTAATCCTGTTAATCAAACAAGCCCATAGAGTATAAGCTGTATTAGGAAAAATTCTCCCTTTCATTTTACGAGAAAAATACTTGTGATCCCTAAAAATGAAGGGCTAGACTCCTTAGCTTTTTTAGAAGAACGCTAACAATAAGAAGGGGAACATGTATTATACATAACAATACCAAAGCACGTCCAAAGCATAAACAAATAGATAACTCATAAAATTACATGAAAAAAACTAACAAATAACAATTACCAAGAATCAGAACAAAGCACATTTATCTGCAAAGCTAGCTGGTAGAGAAAATAACTCATTTAACTGAATTCAACCAAGAACAATCCCACCTCAAACATTCTCTACGGCTACCATTAAAACCAACTATTCTCACATCACTTTTCATTTCCATTCTGACTTTTTTTTATAAGAAGTTGTTTGCCACCCCCAAGTAGCCACCTCTCTATTATCTCAATTACTTTTCCCAACAATGATCCCCCCCCCCACCCACTTCATCCACTCCTAAGGGCTGTGCTCTGCCATTAGGGTTAATTTTAGCAATAATTTTTTCTAATAATTATTATCCTACAAAACATAATTGTCTCTAAAACAAGAGATAAGAATTTTTAGACACAGAAAAAAAAAAAAATATATATATATATATATATATATATATTAAGTTGGGTATTCAACTACCAATCTGTAAAACTTGACCTCCTTTCTAAATACTAATAAAACCATACACCTATCTCACTCACACCTGTTTCTTTCAAACCATAATCTACAAATTAGCATTCACAAATTCAACACCACTCAAACCAAACAGAAAACCCCATTAATACCAACATAGCTAAAGTAAAACCAATCAAAATCAGGAACCCAGTTCTCAATAATCAAAAAAATTAAAAACCCAATTCACATTTCACGTATTCTCCCATATTTCAAATACAATTCTTACACATTCACATTAAAAAAATAAAAATAAAAATAAAAAAAATAAATTGGATCAAAAAATTCGTCACCTGATCGCGAACAGGCACGTTAACGACCCTCTCGGAGAGAAAGACACCGTCCCTGGGGGGGCGACGAATGGAGCTGAACCTGCGCTTGCACATGGGGCATCGAGACTCGACTTTGGCCCATTCCATGATACATACGAAGCAAAAGTAGTGATCGCAGCTATCGATCTTGCCTCTGATGGCCACCATACCATCCTCCGACAAGCAAATTCCACAGCACTGCGATGCCGAATCGAAAAGCGTTGTCGATTCATTGCAGATTAACAAGTCTTTGCCTTTGGATGATGATGGAGGAGGAGAAGTTGGGGTTGGAATTAGGGTTTTGGGTCGTTTGTTTTGGGGAATTTCTGGGATTAGGGTTTGATTGGGGGAAGAAGAAGGGGACAAGGTGGTGTGTGAGTCACTCGCCATTGGTGTACTGAGTTGTATGGGTCGTGTCGTGTCGTGGATTCTGGTTTTATTTGTTCTCATGAGGGAGTTGAGGCCGTGGGATTACCGTCAGCCGCGATGTCGTTCCATGAAAGGACACGTGTGCCATAGGAACAAAAACAAAGGAATTCAAAATTACACTTTCACCCCTCAATGATGACCCTTTTTTCATTTGAGTCCTGGGTAGGCAACGGATTATTCGACCCTGTGGAGAAGTAGTTTTGGAAATACTCTTCTGATCTTGGGAGACGCTAGCGATCCTCTTCTAGTCACCTAAAAAGGGATAAATGCTCCAGTTGGGGGTGCCGGAATTAGCACTCCGACGGGCAAGTCAGTCTCTAATCTCTGAATTGCTTATTTTTTAAATAAAATATAATAGTTCTCACATACCTCTTATTGGCTGATATTCTTCTATTTATATCCTTTTTCTCTTAGGCCTCGGGATTAGGCCCGCTTTCTGTTCGTCATTCGGCTTCCTTTGTAGCAAATTGCTTTTTACTCGGCCCTTGACCTATTCGGCTATTTGACTGAATATGGTAGGATTTGGATGTGGGATGAAGCCAAATACTATACATACATTCCAGTTCCCCAAGTTCATATGCTAGGCCTATTTACGACCCCCATTATTCGGCCCCCACAATTGCCTCCCAAACATTCTACTAATGACGGTTTGGAATGTTTGGTTTCGAACTCGAAAAGTCTGAGCTGAAATTCGGCGGCTGATACCATTCCAATGCAGATGTCTGAACACACGCTTCTCGGTCATCATTTCAACTTCCCGCCCCTTCATACTCTCCTACTTATTATGATTTAAAAATTTTGACGTCTTTTCAAATACGCACGCTTTCAGATACTTGCCGCTGGACTGTCTTCCGCATTATCTCTGCAACTTCCTTTCCTTCACTATCCCCTTCGTCTCTCGTAAGTTTTCTTCCTCTCTGCTCTAAGTCCTGTTGCCTGGTTTGTTTTTGGTTTCGAGCATTCGTGTAGATTGTAGAAAATGGAGAAACACCTTAAAGATCTCCTCTCTTCAGATCGAATTTCTGGCTTTCGACGCCATTTTTCTATCCCTGATGACGTATGTCTGTCATTCGTGACAGATGGCACCCTCGATATGGAGAGGGCTGATGAATCCACGATCGACTTCCCTCTCCTATCAATCGCAGATGGTGGAATCCGCTTCCCACTTCATCCACTCCTAAGGGCTGTGCTCTGCCATTAGGGTTTAATCCCTTCCTAACCCAATGTTAATTTTTTTAGAATCGTAATGGGGATTATCGCACTAAACCGTCGCCTTAGGATTAACCTCCGCATTCTTGCTATTCGGCATTGTTATGCCTTGGCCAAGTCTTCTGGTCGGCATGGACGTTACTTCCTTAGGGCCAAGGACACCGACCATCAACTAGTGACTATACTTTTCAGCTCTGGGAAGCGAGTCGATGATGTTATGGTCGTTGTCCACAGTAATTGGGAATTCGGCGAAGGCGAGGATCCCCTCAATCCTATTCCTAGACGGAGGAGCGAACCAGGTGGCTGTGTAGCTTCTTTTATTTATTTTTTGTTATATTCGTAAAGCTTCGTTTTTTAGACCTCATGGCTTTGCTCGTGCAGGGAACAATTTGAAGAAAATCCTGACTTCAACCAACGATGCCGTTCTTTCGGAAATCAAGGTTGCGCTCAAATATTTCGGCATGCCGAGTCTTCAAAAATAAGGGAGGGTGGCCCACGTTCTTCTCCACTACAACCCGACCTATACGACCTTCTCGGCGACAGAGAACATCCCAGTTCCGAACGGTGAGGAGTTTCTTATCGCCCTTATCTTGACTGATTTCAAGAATTTGAGGCAAGTCGGTCTTGAAGGGTCCGATTCAGAACGACCAGTAGCTGAGGTTTCCGAGTCCGATCAGTCCAAAATCGAAGTCGACGAGGCTTTGCAGTTAGCTTTTGAAGAAGCTGGCCTCAACTCAGCCGAACCTCCGTCCACTTCGGGTCGAAAGGAGCTTCCACTCGATGACATTTTTCACGGTCTGGAGGACCTTCCCGACGCTTACCCCGAAGATATGGCTAGGTTAAGCCTCACACAACTTGCCAAAAAGGCGAACACGGAAAAGATGGTAGCACGACGAAGGGCAGAGGCTATTCGAACCGAAGTGCCTCCTGCTACCAAACCTCAGGCCTCCTTGCCTGTTATTGAGGGGATAGCAGAAAACCAAAGTGCCGAGGCCGAGTTGGTTGTGCAGGCCGATCGAGAGGCTAAACTAAGGAAAGGGAAGCGCTCTGCTGAGGTTGAGGCTGGCTCAGAAGATAACCGCGCCGACAAACGACCTCGTTTAAAGGAATCAGATGTGATCGTGCCTTTCGTTATTCAACCGAAGATAAAAAACACGCCGATCCCTTCTGATGCTTCGGTAATTAAAGATCCAGCGGTCGTGCTTAGCATGGCTACATCCGTTTCACTACCGGCTGACAAGGCGACTTTCCAGATGGAGCCGGATCTGGTTTCAATAGCATTGGTCGCGCAATCTACATTTTTGGTATAAATCTTGACTTTGTCTTTTCACTTTATGCAAATACTCTTTTGGTCTTAACTTCCTGTTTTTCAGACCGTCGGAAGGATAGCGGAGATAGGCCGTCGTCATCATGACGTCATCAAACAGCTCAGCCGTCTTCAAACAGAAGTTGAGGGCCAAAGGAGCAGGGTCAAGTTTGAGGCTTTAAGGGCGAAGATAGAAGGCGCGTGGGCCGAAGCTGAGATGGAGAGGGCACAGAATGCAGAGGAACTGAGATTAGCCACCGAGAGGAGGGCGGACACGAGCGAGGGAGCACTGAAATTGGCCCAGGAGGCGGTCTCCAAACTGGAGGCTTCTAAGGCATTAGAGGTCGGGAAAAATGCTGCCTTTGCAGAATATGTAGACGAAGTCTCCAAATTTAAAAATCGGGGATTCAAACACGGCTGGCTTAAAGCCCTTGTTGCTGCTGATGTGACATTGGCTATGTTAATTCCATACGAGCAAATGGATATTGAGCCGCTAAAGTCCGACTCCGAGGATTAATTTGGGCCACACCTTTTTTTGCTTGCTGTTTTAGGAGTTTTCGTATGTATTTTTACAGCTTTTTGTTTGGTAATTTTCATGTGTAAAATGGCTACAATTTGTGCCCAATTTCCTAATGAAAATTTCCTTTTTTGCCTTGCTGTTATTTGTGCTAGCTTTTGTTATTGATGATTGATATTGTTGTTGATTGGGAAATGGCTACACTTTGTTTTTAATACCAAGTATCGATCGGCATTAGGCATCAACACTTGGCCGATCAGATTAATAAATCTGCCCTTACCCTAGCTAGTACACGAGTTTCGTTAGCCGAATAGGCCTAGTTCGTGGAATGGCTGCGGCATAAATCTATCGGCATAGGGCTTAAATACTTGGCCAATCAGATTAATCAATCTGCCCTTGCCCCAGCCAGTGCACGAGCTTCTTTAGCCGAATAGGCCTAGTTCGTGGAATGGCTGCGGCATAAATCTATCAGCATTAGGCATCAACACTTGGCCGATCAGATTAATAAATCTGCATTGCCCCATCCAGTACACGAGTTTCGTTAGCCGAATAGGCCTAGTTCGTGGAATGGCTGCGGCATAAATCTATCGGCATCGAGCTTCTAGCGTTTGGCATTAAAGACGTCGCCTCGGGGGCGCTAAATACATACGAATAAATGGGGTGAGTTCGCGCCAATGAGTCCACTTATTTTTATTCAGGCTCGATTTGAACTAGCTTTGGGCAAGGGCAAATGTCAAACAGACTATTTTTCAACAGCAGAGGAGAAAGACGAATGCTAGCTGAGCTAAATACTGCGATGAATCGCAGCAGCGAGCCTACGCGCGCAGGAGGAAGGACGTCCAAGGAAAGGGAAAAACGTCAACCTTCAAGCCGTTGAAGTAGATCACCCCGAAGAGAGAAGCAGCAACGGAAAAGCTCCCCGTGACCACGACCGAGGAATGAGACAGTCGCGACGCCATGACCATTGAGTTTTGCAATGTTCATGGGAATAAACCGATGACTGAAGCAGATTCCATCGTTAATGATCTGGGTGTAGCGGTCAAGTTCGCTCAACAGATCTTTCCATCGGAAGTCCAATAATCGATGGTTGGACGACAAGATTTCGAAGTGTTTCGAGAAGGTATCCATGGGGCGGTGAAGGGGCTGTACACCGCCTATGAAGTCGGCATGCACCTGCGCGTCGCGCGGCAGGAAATAGAGAAAATGGACGAACGGATGCGCAGTTCGGAGGCTCGTGCGAAAATAGCCGAGCGTGAGCTTAGGGAGCTTAGAAAGGCAAAAGCCGCCGAGCCGCATGCGGCGGGTCAATCTAACCCGATTGTGGAGGAAAGGGTGACCCAACGGCTATTGAGTCATGCCATCGCCGACCGAGATACGGCAAGCATGTTCGCCATAGAAAATGCGAGGGCCAAGGGTTATGTGCAAGGCTTTCATGTTGGCCGGAAGGTTGGGATCGACAAAACGAAAGAGAAACTTGCAGAAGAGGTCTGCCGATGCGAGAATCGGGGCTTTAAACACAGTTGGATCACAGCACTTCAGGCCGCGGAGGCTCTCCGAGCAAAGTGTGTCGATTTGGCGTTGCCGCTGTACCATCGTGATCATTTGCCATTTTCTACATTTGAAGTCGAAAAGAGCGACGATGAGGGAGACGCCGCATAAAAATATTCGTTGTAATGTTCAAACGCGGATTGCGTCTAAAATTATGTAATTATTGGTTGGTCAAATAAAAAGATTTTATTTTCAATGTTTTGTTATAATTTTTGTTTGGCACACACATGCTTGCATGTGTTTTATTGTATAAATATTTGAATAACCGTATTTCAGATGATTGAATGGACATTGATCGGCCTGATTTATTAAGTTACGCACGGCCCGAACATCCACGAAGGGTGCTCCGAGTCCGAAGGCTTACTCGGCCTAATGACATCATGCGCAGATGGGGCTCCGAATCCAGAGACTTTTTGGTCAATCGTGATATCTACGAAGGGCGCTCCGAATCTGGAGGCTTTTTCGGCCCAAGGACGTCATGCGCCGATGGGGCTCTGAATCCGGAGACTTTGTTTGGCCAATCATGATATCCACGAAAGGCGCTCTAAATCCGGAGGCTTTTTCGGCCCAAGGACGTCATATGCCGATGGGGCTCCAAATCCGGAGACTTTGTTCGGCCAATCGTGATATCCACGAAGGGCACTCCGAATTTGGAGGCTTTTTCGGCCCCAAGACGTCATGCGCCGATGGGGCTTCGAATCTAGAGGCTTTTTCGGCCCAAACACGTCATGCACCGATGGGGCTCCGAATCTGGAGACTTTGTTTGGCCAATTGTGATATCCACGAAGGGCGCTCCAAATCCGGAGGCTTTTTCGGAACACCGTTGAACTGCAATTTGTAGTGAATAAATTGGGATCTTTGTATTACAGAAAAAAAAGATGTACATGGCGAACCGTTCAGAACAAGCATCATGTCCCACAAGTCGGGTCAATGATAAAATTTGCATAAATGCGTGGAATTCCAAGGCCGTGGCAGACTCCTTCCTGACATGTCTTCAAGCCGATATGCCCCTACTCCTGCGATTGAATCAATCTGATAGGGGCTATCCCAGTTAGGACCCAATTTTCCATCGGCCGGTTTCTTGGTTGCTGGAAGTACCTTTTTCAGGACCAACTCTCCTGGTGTGTAACGGCGCAACTGAACTCGTTGATTATACGACTTAGCAAGCTGCTGTTGATACCGCGCCATAGATGCGAGGGCACGGTCTCGTCGTTCTTCAATTAGAACCAAATCCAAAGCCAGCATCATGTCGTTTCGGCCCATATAAAAAACTGTCGATTTTAAGGTTGGGAGGCCGATTTCCAGGGGTATGATTTCCTAGGTTCCAAAGCACAGAGCAAACGGCGTTTCCCCAATAGACCACCTCGGTGTAGTTCGATGAGCCCACAACACACTCGGCAATTCTTCGACCCATTTGCCTTTAGCTTTCTGTAGCCTCTTTTTGATGCCGTCCAAGATGGATTTGTTAGAGGCTTCAGCCTAACCATTGCTTTGCGAATAAGCCGACGTGGAAAAGTAAGGTCGTATACTGTACTTGCTGCACAGTTCTCGGTAGACGCCACAATCGAACTGGGTGCTGTTGTCTGAGATAAGTGCTCTTGGAATGCTGATGCCGAACCGTGTTATGATGTTTCTCCGAACAAAACGCTTCACATCGGTATCTCGAATGTGGGTTAGTGCCTCCGCTTCTACCCATTTTGTAAAATAATCTGTCGCGACAATCAAAAATCACTTGTTACCCGGGACCCGAGGCAGTGGTTCGACGATGTTAAGTCCTCATTGGACGAACGACCAAGGACCAGTTATGGAGCTCAGCTCTTCAGCAGGCAGGTGGGTCAAAGGGGAGAACTTCTGGCACTGTTCATACTTTTTCACGTAGCCTTCGGCATCCGCTATTGTTGGCCAGTAATACCCCTATGTCACGGCTCGATGGGCCAAGGACCGCCCGCCAGAATGGGCGCCACAACTGCCTTCATGTATTTTGGTCAGAAGCTCTTCGACTTTGTCCGGGTGTACACATCCCAAATATGGACTAGACAGGGATTTTTTATAAAGCCTTCCTTGCGGATCCAAGTAGTATCGCAGGGCTTTGTTTTGCAGCTTGTGCGCTTCTTTCTTGTCCTCTATGAGCTGTTCGGAAGACAGGAATGCGGCAATGGGATCCATCCAACTCGATCCAGACTCTATAACATTGACTTGGACTTCCTCCAGAGGGCCAATGCTCGGCTCTGGGATGAAACCTACTTCGATGGTTCGTTTAATCTCTGAGTTGATGGCGGAGGCTAGGCAGGCAAGGGCATCTGCATGTGTGTTCTGATCACGTGTTATCTGGTTCAATTCATGATGGTCGAATTTTGCCAACAAAGAGTTGGCCATTTTCATGTAAGCCACCATACGGTTGTTTCTTGCCGCGTACTCCCCCTTTAGCTGATTGATCACCAGTTTTGAATCACAAAATACAAGCAAACGCCGAGCACCCAAAACATGTGCATTCTGCAAACCGGCTAGAAGGGCTTCGTATTCGGCTTCGTTGTTTGATGTTTCGAAGCCGAGCTTGACGGCCTGCTCAATTATTGCGCCGTCGGGAGCCATGATAACAACTCTGGCTCCACTGCCCCGCTTATTGGATGATCCATCACAGTACAACTGCCAGATGTCTCCAACATAAATTCTCCAGTTAGGCTTCGGACGAATCTCATCGGGCTTAAAATCAGCAAGACCCCCGGTGAATTCGGCAACAAAGTCAACAAGTACCTGTCCCTTGATTGAGGTTTTGGGTAGAAACTGAATGTCGTACTGGCCGAGTTCGAGAGCCCATTTTGAAACACATCCTGATGCTGCTGCACTTCGTAGTACTGATCGGAGGGGATAATCTGTTAGCACCCCAATGCTATGTCCTTGGAAGTAATGCATCATTTTTTTTGCCGCCATGACTAGGGCTAGGATGAGTTTTTCCAGCGGAAGGTACCGCGTTTCGGCGTCAACCATTGCCTTGCTCACATAATACACTGGTCGCTGCTCCCCCAGCTCTTCCTTTATCAGTACGGCGCTGACGGCCTTGTCAGAAGCTGCCAGGCACAAAATGAGCGGGTCACCAGCAGTGGGTGTTGTCAAGAGTGGTATTGAGCAGAGGTAGGTCTTGAGTTCGTTGAAAGCGGCTTCGCATTCAGCGGACCATTCAAAAGCCTTTCCCTGCCGTAGTGTATGAAAAAATTATCGACAACGATCTGTAGACCGACTGATGAACCTGTTGAGTGTGGCGGCCATCCCCATCAACTTTTGAACCCCTTTTACTGAACGAGGAGAGCCGAGTTCCAAGATTGCTGTGATTTTCCTGGGGTTGGCCTCGATTCCTTAGTGGTTGACAATGTAACCCAAGAACTTGCCAGAGCCGATCCTAAATGCACATTTGGAAGCGTTCAGCTTCATTCCATATTTGCGTAAAATGCTGAATGCCTTTTCTAGATCGGCTATATGATTCTGTTCTTCCTTGGACTTGACCACCATATCGTCAATATACACTTCCATAGTGTGGCCGAGTTGCTCATTGAACATGGCGATGGCCAGTCTTTGATGGGTTGCCCCTGCATTCTCCAACCCAAATGACATAACTTTGTAGCAGTAGGTTCCTCTTGGGGTAATGTAACGATCCCATCGCGTATAATGATTAGTACTTGATTAATTAAGAGGATTTGAAATTTAATTGCCGAGTATTATAATTTAATTTGGGATTTATGAGAATTGTGAAATCTGATTCATATATGATTCTATTAAAGAGTTATTTTGAAATTAGAAATTAAGGGTCCAAATGGCTTAAAGAAGTAAAATTGAGAAGTTGAATCAATTTAATTTTAATTACGGACCCATTTGGGAGTTCAATTAAATATTTGATTCAGTTTAGTAAAATTGAGATTCGATTAATTAGGTCCTAATTGGAGTTGATTAAGTCCTGAGGATTGAGAATTGTGGTTATTATAAATTAAATTTAATTATGATGTGTCCAATTTGAATATATAATTTATTGATGAAAATTTGAGTCTGATCAGAAATTGAAGGCCTAAATGATTTAGGAAATCAAAATTGATAATGATAATAAATTTAATTTAATATTTGGAGCATTTTGGGAGTCTGACTAAAAATCTTATTCGGATTGATAAAATTAAATATAATTAATTGGGCCTTAATGGAAGTCAAACTAAACTAATAAAATTATGTGGGATTTATGATTTGTTATAATTAATGTAACTATGTGTTGATCAAGATTTATTAAGATTAAGTTTTAATTAAATTAACCCTACACATAAATTGATTTATGGAAGAATCTAGAATTAAAGGGTGTAAATGAGCAAGGGTGTATTCAGTAAATTAGTGGGTGTGTATATGTGTGTGCGCGTGTAAGGCTGTGGTCAAAAGGTAAACTGTGCATGTGTGTGCTGGTGAGTTCAAGATGAGGGTAATTTCCTTGGGGCCAAAACACACGTTCGGTGAAGTGAAGAAAAAGAGTTAAGGGAATTTAGAGAGAGAGAGAAACAACCGAGAGAGAGGGAGAGTGTGTAAAAAAAAAAATTCTTGAAACTCATTTGCTGGAAATTGAGTAGGAAAGCTAAGGGAAAAGCTAGGGAAAAGTGAAGAACTGAAGAAAAGTTCAAGAATTGGCCAAGAAATTCATCAATTTGAAGACTTAAGGTAAGAAATTGAGACTTAAATTTTGTAGATAATTTACTCACAAGCTGAAATTAAAGGGTAATTGGGTTTAATTTCATGACATAAGAAAGGAATGTAGAAGGTTTGAGTTAAGTTTGATAATTAAGAAATTGATGTTGTGATTAAATATTTGAGTTTGATTTTCTTCATCCTTCACATATTTGAAGTTTATCATTACATGCGTTGTAAATTTCCAAGATTTTAGAATATAATTCATATTTTCAAGTTTATGAGCTTAAGATTAAATTGTGATATAAATTAAGAAGTCAAATTATAAATTGAGCTTGATAATGGAAAAATTGGTTGGATTTGATAAATGTTTTATACATACATCATGGATTTTGAGGAATTTAAGGTAAACAATTTCATGTTTTGAAGAGAAGAGGGAAGAAATTTTATAAGAAAAATTAAGTTTATGGAAATTTTGGCGTTAATCCTAAAGTTAGACAAGTTCTTGATTTTACCACGAATGACAGGAATTGGTTTAATTTTAATTTAAAAGTTTTATTCAAATTAAAGAGTATGAGTTTATGGAAGATTAAACATTGATTTAATTTTGAATATAGAAAATTAATTAGTTTTAATCTCAATGTCACACATGCAAATACTTTCCTAAGAGTCATATAACTTCAATTTTATGTACATTAAAAGGAATTAGTAAAATGGTGTAGAAATTGAATTAGATTCAAAATTATAGAAGTTAATTTGAAAATAACCATTTTGGATTTGAATTTATTTGTCTTATATGAAATTGAGTTTCAATCACACATGCATCATGAATTTGCAAGAGTTTTGGGAGCCTAATTCATGTTTTAAAATTTGTGGGTTTGATGGGGAGAAAATGAGTTAAAACTAAATTTGGACAAGTGGAGCATGATTTTGAATAAATGATTTCTAATTGAGAGTGTTTACTAAATTATACAATGATTCTCCATTTTTGTATACCAAAATACATATTTTAAGGCTTTGAACATCAAATTTGAACTTCAATTACAATTCTAGAAATTCCAGAATTTACGTTGTCCACTCGAGCAAGGAAAGTCTCGCTCGAGCGTGAAAATCGAGCTTCCAGAAGTTTTTCAAACTTTACAGTCCGCTCGAGCGACCAAAGTGACGCTCGAGCGAAGACCCCCTTTTCAGCATATTTTGAAAAGTTGCATTTAGTTCACATTTTTATTCTCATCTATTTTCGAAGAATTTTGGACATGATTTATGACTCAATAAAGATTAATAAGCTATTAATCAACATAGATTAGTTAGTTAAAGAATGAATCATTGATCTAGTGGTAATTGTTTAAGAAGCCAAGTAAAAGATCAATCTATTTGGAAGAAGGACTTAGTAATGAAAGAATATGTGAAATAAGAACCTGGCTTATTTGAATGAGAAAGAATCAGCGTAGTAGAACTTCGGACTATTTAGACGGAAAAAGACTAGAAAAATCAAGTTTGATCAAGGAAGGTATTTCAATGTGTTTATGTTATGCGCTTGTGTAGGTCACGCTCCATTATCTGCCTGGTTTATCTGATATGTCCAGTCTGTCTGATTTGCTTCTGCAGCTATCTGTGAGTAATAACTTAGTAAAGTTATGTTCAACTGTATCTATTTTCTATGTGACAAAATGAGATCTGTTTCCTGAAATGATATATTCTGTACAATGAATGATTGTCCAATTTCTGTTATATATTCGTGACATCCTTAGCATCATGTGATATCTGTTGGCTGTTACCTGGTATCGGAGGTTCCTTTATGGAACTTAATTCTGTCAGCACTCTGTTACCCGTACCGGAGGCCCCGTCATGGGGGCTCAGTGTATCTCTGCTCTGTTACCCGGATCCGGAGGTTCCTTTATGGAATTGGTTATTCGTAACCCTCACGTGTTTGTATCTGCTCTGTTAATGCTAATGGATGTATCACGTATATTTAAGCATACCTCATGATTTCTGTATATGATCTGGACAAATTATGAATTTGATATGAAACTAAATTATAATTTATGAATCTGTACGGACTCATCCATTGAAACCCCTTTACTCTATTATTGTTCACTGAGCTTTCGCTCATAGTTTATATTATGTATGTAGGTGAGCCGGGGCGTGATTAGGGCCAGAGTTGACGGCCTTCATTTCTATTTTTGTCAGCCAACCGTTGTGCCTCCCGTGGAGGTTCCGGATATATCAAGTGATTGTTGCTATGTGATTTAAAGTTTTAGTTCTGTTTTCTTGTTTGGTTAAACAAGTCTTGTGTATTTTGTAAAAGAAGCTAAGTCCTTTTTGTCTGATCTGTATATATATTATGGCGTAGGGACGATGTGTATATATGTATATAAAAAATTTAACATTTTTCTGTCTCATATAAGTCTGCACAGCTCAATGGACGTTGTATATTTGTTATTTGTTTCCGCTAGCCCCTAATATTATGTTAATCTATCTCAGAGGCCTTCGGTAATCCTAGGATTACTGGCTGGTTACGATACTAAACCTATAGGGACGGGCTTGGGTCATGGCAGGTAAGGAATGCAGTTTTATCCTAGTCCTCCGGATGCATGGCAATTTGATGGTAGCCTCTGTAAGCCGAGGAAGCTCATACGTTGATGGCGTGCCGTCGCATCTACAAGTTGGTCGATTCTGGGTAGGGGAAAACAATCCTTGGGGCAGGCTTTGTTTAGGTCCGTGAAATCGACACACACTCGCCAAGTCCCGTTTTTCTTCTTCACCACCACTATATTAGAGAGCCATGTAGGGTAGGTCACTTCCCTAATTGCCCCGGCGTCAAGTAGCCTGTCAATCTCCTCAACAACGGTGGCTGTGTGCTTTGCGGTTGACCGCTGGCTTTTCTGGATGATCGGCTTGCACTTAGGATCGACATTCAAATGGTGCTGTGAAACTGACGAATCTGTACCCGGCATCTCATACGGAGTCTACGCAAAGACATCGAGGTTGCTAAGTAGGAAAGAGATTAGCTGCTGTCTGTCAGCCTGATTCAGGGAGGCGCCGACCATGAAGAACTTGTCTGTGCTTCCATTGATTTCAACTCGGTCTAAGCCTTCCGTGGCCTTTTCATTTGGGAGCCGCCCAACATCGTCGAGGCTCTCTCGATCCGGCACCTCAATGGAATTCACCTGTAGTTCCTTTGGCGTTTTTTCAGCAAGGAGATAACTTGCTTGTGCCGATTTCTAAGAGCCACGGATTTGCTCAACGTCGCATTCTGTCAGGAAGCGTAGCAGCTGATGATAGGTACTCGGCACAGCCTGCATAGTATACAACCAGGATCACCCCATGATGAGATTATACGGCGACGGTAGCTTGACGACCAAGAATTCCACATCCACTGTTCGGGAACCTGCTCGAACGGGTAGTCTGATTTTTCCCAACAGGTACTCTGGATTCGCATTGAAGCCGAATAGTGGATAAGGGGCCGGAGAGAGATCCGATTCGGAGAAGCCGAATTTAGTAAATATCTTATAGTACATAATCTCCGATGTGCTCCCCTGATCAATGAGTACGCGCTCAACTGTGAATCGGTTTACGCGTAACTCAATTATCAAGAGATCAATGTGGGGCAGTGTTACTCCGGCCAAATCCGAATCATCAAATGTAAAAACCTCGACTTCATGGGGCCGTTTAGCCGGAGTGAGTCGGTCTTGAGGGTTAGACTTCGACTGAATCGCATGCACCGTCGATGACATTGGCAGGCTGTATATCATGTGGATCACGCCGAGCAGGGGTGAATCTTGTCTCAAGGCTTTTGCTTTGGTTGGGTTTCCTTTTCGGACGTACTGTTGTAGCCGGCCATCTTGTATCGATTCCTCCAGGAGGTCCTTCAGTGTATAACAACTGTCAGTATTTTGGCCATGGTCCTTGTGGTACTCACACTGTCTATCCCGTCTTCTCGTGTCAGGTGGTCCTAGATTGCTCAAAAATATTCTGCACATCAAAGCCTCATCATCTGTATGCAGTGTCATAGCTTGCGTGTAATGGCAGATGTGATTGGTGGGGTTTGATTTACCGTCGCACAAGGTGAATGACGGTGCTTTGAATTTCTTGGATAGCACTGCCTTTGCAATCCGTCGTACAGAAGGATTGTGTTGATCTTCATCCGAACTGTTTCTTCTTCGCTTTATACGGGGACTCTCTTCAGAAGAACTGGAAGTTTCAGATCGTCCCTTCTTCCTGGGCTCCGAGGATAACGAGTCGGAGTCACTATCAGTATCGTCTTGTCGGGCTCGAGGTTGTCGACCACCTGCCTTCGAAGATCGTTCCGAATTTAGGCTACAACTTGTTTGGACTTCGCCACTTCCAAGGCCAGATCTTCACGAAGACATTCATTCTCAGTGATCATGTTCTCTAACCTCTGTTCATTTTGCTTTGCTTGTTCCATGATCGCATGCATTGTCTCATGCTCCGAAGTTGAGGGTGAGGCAAAGTTCAAGGCACGTCTTGCGGCGATAGTCTCCGGTCCAAGCATGTTTGTTAGGGTGAGGTCGTCTCTTTGCGTGGTTTCATCAGTGACTATTGGAGGATCTTCTGTTACGCCTGCCATGGATATATTTGAGTATTCCCACAGACGGCGCCAGTTGTGGAGAAGTGGTTTTGGAAATACTCTCCTGATCTTGGGAGACGCTAGCGATCCTCTTCTAGTCATCTAAAAAGGGATAAATGCTCCGGTCTGGGGTGCCGGAATTAGCACTCCGACGGGTAAGTCAATCTCTAATCTCTGAATTGCTTATATTTTAAATAAAATATAATAGTTCTTACATACCTCTTACTGGCTGATATTCTTCTATTTACATCATTTCTCTCTTGGGCCTCGGGATTAGGCCCGCTTTCTGTTCGTCATTCGGCTTCCTTTGTAGCAAATTGCTTTTTACTCGGCCCTTGACCTATTCGGCTATTTGACTGAATAGGGTAGGATTTGGATGTAGGATGAAGTCGAATACTATAAATTCATTATAGTTCCCTAAGTTCATATGCTAGGCCTATTTACGACCCCCATTATTCGGCCCCCACAGACCCGCATAACCCACGCAAAACAAACCTTACCCGTAGTGATTTGGGTTGTTTTGAGATATTGATTGGGTTGGATGTAGATCCATTTTTAGAGACAATTTTGGGTCAGACCTAACCTACCTTCATAAGACCGGTGCACCTACAAACCCTTAGGTGCTGTTTGATAACACTTACGTTTTCAGTTTTCTGTTTATATTTATAAAAATTTAAAAAACTCAAATAAAAACTTGTTTGGTAAAATTTTTGATTTATAAATTAGTGGTCTCAGTTTATAAATTTAGCCAAAAAATGAAAACACAAAAAATGTGTTTCCATTTTGAGTTTTCACCACTTGCCATTTTTCACTATTTTGTATATTTTTAAATTTTTTTAAATATTTTGTCAATTACCAAATGCGTTTGTGGTTTATGTTTTTCAAAAAATAAACAAAAAATAAACAAAAATCAGTTTATAAAATTTTTGTAAATATAAACTGAAAACGTAAACGTTACCAAACACACCCTATAATTTTATTTTTTTATTTTTTTATTCCTCTTTTGCTTCGCTGCCTAGGTTTCCTCTCTCTACCCACTTGTTCTCTGTCTCTCTTCTCTTTCTCTCATCTCGCTTCCATCTCTCTTTTTCATCTCGCATTTTGCTCTCTTTTCTCATTCCTATCGTTGCTGTCAACTTTTGCACTCCGTCGCTACTTCCTTGCCTCTCTCACACTCCTCTATCGTACTCCCATGTTGGCTTATCATACTCCATCACCTCTCAAACTCCACCGTTGTTTCGTCGCTACTCCATTTGCAAAGTAAGAGTTGAAATCCTAATTTTCGTTGCCACTCTATTTGGTAAAAAGATATAGGGTATATTTGTGGAGAAATTGGGCTATTTTTTTCGATTTGATTGGGCTTCTATATTTGGTTGCTGAGAAACCCTAGTTGAGCTTTTATGTTTGATTGTTGTTGCTGACTATATTGAGATGCAAGATTGTTTGTTTATGTTTGTCTTTTTTATGGCCTAAAAGAATGTCTCAGAAAAAGGGTAAAAAATGCAAAAAATCAAAAAATATTAGAAAAAAATCAATCTGCAAACCGCTTACACACCCGCATGACCCATCTATACAATTCGTAACCCACATCACGGGCGGTTGTTTTTTCATTTTTTCCAAACACGCATCTCTTCGAGCTGGTCCAACTTATGACCCAAATCGTCAAAAACCAATCTATAAGCACCCTTACTACTAATGATCCTTACTTGACATGGACTAAATTGTTATTTGATGACCTAATTCAGCACTTAAAATTGAATGCATTAACTAAAAATCAATTAAGCTCGTTTGATAATAACAATTGGTAACACTTACAATTTTAAGTGTCTCTTAAAATGAAGCTAAAAGATGGAAAAAAATATTATGTGATAGAAAACCTACTTAATTCTAACTTAATTTATAAATACACATATGTCGACATACATAGTTATAACATCTCCGCCATGGCCATAACCACCATTACTCATTCCACCACTATTGTTACCACCACCATAACTTCTATCGCCGTTGTCGCCACCACCACTACAACTACTACCACTGGCACCACCCCTCCTCCACCACCACCATAACATCTACCATTGTCATCATTGCATAAGTACTACCATCACTTCACTACTATCACAACACCACTACTACATTACCACCATCTATCTACCATCATTACAACTATCTTATATCTCCACAACTATGGCCACTATTATCACAATTACCATCATAATTACATTACCACCGCCACTTTGTTTACCTTTTATTGGCTACATATTTTGTATAAAGCCAATCACAGTTCAACACGTGGCAGGTTGAGGGTAATACGATAAGACAATTCAAACCTTCGATCGTGATCGTCCACATGGCAGTTAGTATTGGTTTTCATAAGATCTGCGTAGTATTGGATCAGTAAAGAGATGCAAAGTGATGTGGCTTTAACGATTACTCACATTTAAATTCAAAATCAGGGGGGAAGCCTAACTGCAGGTATTGGCGTAGTGGAGCTAACTATAAGGAAACATGATCAGCGATCATGGAGGAGTGTTTCGACGGTTAGAAGTGCAGTTCGATGGTTATCCTTGAGAAGTATAAATAGCGGA